TAAGTTTATCTTTTTGTTAACATTATAGATTGACATCGGACGTTCCATTTCCTAAAGTCAAGTGTTTCATCAAGTAGGACTGACATTGTAAAGGGCTTTGTTCAAAGAATACAAAGTTACTGCTTATTCTTTGCAGTATAGTTTAGTAGTGCTGTCTCTATCGGCCGAATCTAAAAATGGATCATTAAAGGAACACTATAGTGTTGGGAATACAAAAACGTATTTCTGTGGCTCCTTGCGATATGTTGTTGGTTAAGAAGTCTTGCATTCTACAAAAGCATGCCAATGCTTTATATTAGTATCTCCAAAACCAGATTGGACCAATGACACTTTATAAAGTTGCAACAAACTTGATAAGGAATATTCTTCCTGCCATCAGAACACGGATCTGGCAATAAGAGTAACCGGCTGTCCTGGATCAAAGGCCGGCATCACTAAGTCAAAGTCTTTAACAATGAGACTGTCAAAAGCCAGGAGATTAGTAACCGATAACAAGCGACAGATGGTCTCCTGGAATGAAGGCTACAGAATGGCTGAGCAGTGACTAGTCCGTGATACGGATTTCCATACAATGTGTTACTGGGTGACAGGTGTGCACTAACCTGGCCTTCGGCACTGGCCTGTATCCTATTATATGAAAAGATACTTTATAATAAATGTATAATAGACATAAAGCTTTAAATCAGGGGTGCCCAAAAGGTAGATTCCCCGATTTCTTTTTTTTCTTTTTTAAATTGATTAATTTATTTATTTTAAACTACAGCTTCCATGATGCTTTGTCATTCTAAAGACATGCAAAGCATCATGGGAGTTGTAGTTGTACAACCTCTAGGGATCTACCTTTTGGGTACCCCTGCTTTAAATAGACATCCCGCGGTATTGAGAGGCATTGAAAAGCACTATTCTTCACATCCTACTACTGATAAATGTCCCACTGCATTGATTAAGGGGCATAATCATATGTTTGGAAATGATAATTGTGGGGAAGGTGGGGAAGAAGCCTTTTACCCGTCATGGCACATATGTTAGAACTATCATAATATTATTGTATTTGCCCAAACCCGTGTGCTGAAGGCGTCAATGCCAAATATCTGTCCAAGATGCCATTGCATCACTACTAATAAGCTATCAAGGATGTTGTATCAAAATACATCTAGCAATATCCTCTAACCAGCATCCTTCATTATGTTCTAATTAATTCAAAGCTCGATGTGCACTTTAGTGATTTGTAATTCTAACTTATTTCTGAATATTAATATTCATATCATGTATGAGTGCCGCCGTCTTCCTCCCCCCTCACTAACTTGATTTCACGTTGGGTATTAATTGAACATAATTTCCCTTCATCTTAAGTAAAGCAGTCAGAATATTATACAGTTTATAACAATTACTTGAGCTAATTGGCTGTCTTTTATCATTTACAGGAATAAATCACACTTGATTTGCACAATTATGTGATTTGTTTGCACATCCTTGTCAATTGATTTTTGGGTCTTTCTGCTTCCGAACAGATGGAAGGTTTATCTCATAATTACCACTTCTGAGCGAGAGAAAGCTGGTTGTATATATTAATCACTTGTTATGTTTTCACCTTGACTATTTAAATACAGTGCTATCACAAGTGTTAACATGATGATCAGAGCAGATTTCTACTGAGTATGCGTAATAAAGATGTTAATTCTGATCAGATGTTGTACTAAGATTGACAGATGATATAAAATCTGTTTCTAAGGAAACGGGTCATTCAAACTCACAGGAGGTCTCGAAATCCTTTTTTATTGCAAATGTGAAATAAATGTTTTATTATATATAATATATATTTATTTCATATTATCTTATATATGTATATCTTATCTAATATATGTATATATAATTATTTCATAATATCTTTTTTGCTTTGAAAAGCAACATCTGTTTTTGTTTATAAATTAGATGTTTATAATCTATAATATTGCTTACTGAATGTTTTTATTTCTTGTTAGCACAAAATATTTTGAATAGAGTAAATATTTGAAATAAGAGATTTTTTTTTTTTACATGGTATAAATCATGTTGACAAAGTTAAAATAAGCACTGTTTGAATCACTATTACTGTCCATCAACTTACAATATAACACAGTGGGGATTTTAAAATAAGTTCACTACAATGAATAATAAACTGATTATATTTAAATATGGAGAAATAATGTTAATAATGTAACCCCTAAACAGCCTCAGATGTGTTCTTCATTATACCTAATTGTAGATATAATAACTATTACATGTTTTTTAGTAATTAACAAAGTTACTATAGTACTTACAGCTGGCTTAATAACAGATGCCAATGTGGCTTTCAAAAATATTTTGCAGAAACGTTCCAATATTTATCGCTTTACACGCAAATTAGACACGATTGATTGCAATTTTGGATCATGTATTTTATATTACCAAGATAATCAAAGTACATAGTTTCATAGTGACACTTGGTACAGAACGTCAGAACAATTTAAGAATAAAACATTAATTATTCCTTTTTTCCCCCCTTCTTTTCTTTAATTTAACGACTCCTTGTTTTAACATTTAACTGAGACACTGTAATCATCAGAATAATCTGTTTTCTATGTTAAGATTGTGGTGCAAGGAGGTCACCTCTCACTGTACCTCTGCAAACAGTGGCTTATAGCGCTATGCCTGCCCATGTTGATGTGAAAATTGTAATTATGACTGTGAATAAACAAATCACCACCATTGTGGTATCGCTGCATCAGCTTATAAAGCAGTTTGAAGATTTTACCCTGGGTCTCTAAATAAAGCTTTAGACATAAGGATTGCTCCCAGCTAAGTGCATCCCTTTAAACGGTGACCTCCATGACCCTGTATTAAACGTTTAACTGTGAGCACAATACAGATGTCAGATTTCATAGACCTGTAACTTCTCATCAAATTGTTTGTGTTTACATCTCTAGTCTTTTCGCTCTGCCATAAAAAACACAATCAAATGTAATCGGACTACAAAGCTCTAAACACCGTATTCCCATCAATATCTTGATAACTGGATTGGCAGAAGGCGAAAGTGATGCTTACATTTTGTCACCCAACGAGCATTACATTTCCTTCATTACTTTGCCAGCTATCATGATCACAGTGTAGAATAAAAATAAAACCTACAATAGCAATACTGCATTATGTTTCCACAGTATACTCAGCAGGAGTCTTGTCCTACCCTCGATGGCTCTGTGAATGTAAAGGTGCTGCGCATAGAGTAGTCGACTCATGCTATAGGTCAGGTGTAGGCAACCTTCGGCACCCAAGATGTTCATTACATTTCCCATGGTGCTTTGTCAACATCAATTCTGTAAGAGCATTATTGGAGATGCGGTCCACAACATTTGGAATGCCGTAGGTTGCCTAACCACTGCTATAGGTATTACTATAATCAATGTGATTAAAGGGGATTTCTGGATTGATGGCTTTGAACATTGCAGTAATCCTGTAGGGGATTCCCTTCCATGGCAGGAGCACACCGATCTGGAGAACTGGCACTGGAACATCAGTTAGGTTTATAGGTAAATGCTATAGGTAGTGTTTATCCAACAGCAGAGCTTCCAATGTTTCCAATGGATAAAGAGGAGGTGTGAGTAGGAGTGTGACCAGGAGCAGGGCTGTTTGAGAAATGTTCTGTTACTTATAACAATTTATGCAACTAAAATGGAACTTACAGTTGGAAGAAAAAGTATGTGAACCCTTTGGAATGATATGGATTTCTGCACAAATTGATCATACAATGTGATCTGATCATCATCTAAGTCACAACAATAAACAATCACAGTCTGCTTAAATTAATAACACACAAAGAATGAAATGTTGCCATGTTTTTATTGAACACACCATGTAAACATTCACAGTGCAGGTGGAAAAAGTATGTGAACCCTAGACTAATGACATCTCCAAGAGCTAATTGGAGTGAGATGTCAGCCAACTGGAGTCCAATCAATGAGATGAGATTGGAGGTGTTGGTTACAGCTGCCCTGCCCTATAAAAACACACACCAGTTCTGGGTTTGCTTTTCACAAGAAGTATTGCCTGATGTGAATGATGCCTCGCACAAAAGAGCTCTCAGAAGACCTACGATTAAGAATTGTTGACTTGCATAAAGCTGGAAAGGGTTATAAAAGTATCTCCAAAAGCCTTGCTGTTCTTTAGTCCACAGTAAGACAAATTGTCTATAAATGGAGAAAGTTCAGCACTGCTGCTACTCTCCCTAGGAGTGGACGTCCTGTAAAGATGACTGCAAGAGCAAAGCGCAGACTGCTCACTGAGGTGAAGAAGAATCCTAGAGTGTCAGCTAAAGACTTACAAAAGTCATTGGCAAATGCTAACATCCCTGTTAGCGAATCTACAATACGTAAAACACTAAACAAGAATGGATTTCATGGGAGGATACCACAGAGGAAGCCACTGCTGTCCAAACAAACATTGCTGCACGTTTACAGTTTGCACAAGAGCACCTGGATGTTCCACAGCAGTACTGGCAAAATATTCTGTGGACAGATGAAACCAAAGTTGAGTTGTTTGGAAGAAACACAACACTATGTGTGGTGAAAAAAAGGCACAGCGGGGGGCGGGGCCTGACCGCCGAGCTGGATGGACGTGGGGCACCTCGGCTCCTGAATAAATCTCCTATAACCAGCCTGAAATGAACTTTTCTCCCCTGAAAAACTACCATCCGGCAGTTACAAGAAAGCTAAGCAACCACTCACATTATCCGGGTTAGCCCCCGTCCTACCGGCAGCGATGTATGCAGTGCAGTTGGGACTGTGGCCTGCCGTGAGGCTCTGGCGGGAGAAGCGGCCGATCTCCCGTGCTTAGTCCGGCGGGACCTCTCTCACACCTACTAAGGGCCCCGTTCTCCCCCCCTGTGGGCCGGGGGGGTTATCCCGGACCTCACCGGAGGGGCAGAGACCACCTCCTCAAACCGAGCGGTGAACGGACCAAATGGAGACCTCACGGCAAAATCCAAAATGGCCGCCGCGACCATTACAAACCGGACCACAAGCTCCCATCTACAGCATTGGAGACAACACCTCTCACTGCTACCGGCGGTCCCGAGGGCACCCAATTTGGACTCTCACTCCACCCACACAAAGAGGAACAACGGACACAGCAGGCTCCATCTTACATGCCAGTCTGATACCAGCGGAATCACAAGCACGCCCCTGACCACCAAGTACCTAAGCCCTCGAGCAAATGGCGGGAACCACAGGGGACTTGATCATGGCCAGGACGCCAGCCGACTCAGCACTGCTGCAAGAGTAACAAAGCGACTGCTAACAATCTATACTCAATTATAGCACTGCATATTATTTTGTTTACCATCTCCTTGTTTCTCTTTTTTGCTTTTACTATTAATGATTTTAATACTGCAGAACTGCATAGAAAAATGCCTAAGCACACATATGCGCTTAGTCCGACAAGCGCAGGGACTCTCTGCCCCCTGGTGGTCACTCTCAAGCAGTGTGGAGAAATCCACACTTGACATTATTTTATATAGCATGTACCTTAATAATCGTTATTTGTACTTTAACTGCCGGGATCAACATGTCTTGCTAGTAGAAATCTTAATGTTCTTCATATATGAGTATATAAATTGTCTCTCCACTACCATTTTGAGAGCTGCAGTGTGAAATAGACCCCAGTGGTAACAAGCTTTTATGTCTCATCTATACCATGCCTTGTTTAAGCTTCACTAGCATCCACCATGTCTGGCTTTTAAAATTGTCAGCAATACTGCTCCTTTTATTGCCCCAACACGTTGCATGCTCTTGCTTTGTCTTCCGGTAATTGCATAGCTAGCCATGGTGAACCAGCTTGACATATACCTAACTGTTTTCTTCTTTTACCTTAAAAAAATGTATGCAAACCTAACTAGCCACACACCTGTTATAACTATGTTCATTGAGCCTGCTACAGCTGTTGTGGCGAAACAGGCACTGTTGTACTTTACCGCATACCAAAAATAAAGAATTATAAAAAAAAAGGCACAGCACACCAACATCAAAAACCTCATCCCAACTGTGAAGTATGGTGGTGGGGGCATCATGGTTTGGGGCTGCTTTGCTGCGTCAGGGCCTGGACAGATTGCTATCATCGAAGGAAAAATTAATTCCCAAGTTTATCAAGACATTTTGCAGGAGAACTTAAGGCCATTTGTCTACCAGCTGAAGCTCAACAGAAGATGGGTGTTGCAACAGGACAATGACCCAAAGCATAGAAGTAAATCAACAAATGGCTTAAACAGAAGAAAATACGCCTTCTGAAGTGGCCCAGTTAGAGTCCTGACCTCAACCCGATTGAGATGCTGTGGCATGACCTCAAGAAAGC